CTTCACTGTTTTTATATTCATTTTTACCTTTATACTATTATTAAATGTTAACAATAATTTTTTTTATCTTTATTAGAGATAGAGATGGGATAAAGATGAAAACTTATTAAATTTTAAGATAAAGTTAATAAAATTTAAATTTTTTTAATTACAATAAATATAATGAAAATGACTTATAAATCATAGAAGGAATATATTGAATCCTATAATGCTATGTACTTTTACGGTTTTCCCTAACATTTGTGCTTCTCTTTTCAAGTGTCCATCTTTAACTGCCTTCCTCTGTGCATTAATTGCATACGTACCCTCCTGGTTCCTCCACCCTCAGAGTTAGATTATTACACATTAAACAATGAATTTTTACCGCTTCCTCTATTTTATGCTGTCAAATATTATATTCATGTGCTATTCACTAGGAAATCAACAATCAAATGAAGAAAAATTGCAGCCATGAAAGTGATGGTTATTCCACATGCAAGTTATTAAATCATCAGTCGTTGATTACATGACCCTCATTTTCCTCACTTCCTTACTCACTTCTGATCATAATATAGAGCATTTGTAAAAGTGCTATTTTGACAAAATATTAAATACTTTCTCCATTCCTATATATATAAGATGTTTTTAACGAATTTCACATACCAATAAAAATTTGTTATTTAATTGAATCACATAAAAATATAATAATTTTTTAGTTTTATCCATAATGATATCATAATTAATATCATGATAATGGTGGAGAAAACATACAATTAATGACCTATTTTATTTTTCAAGATAAGGGTAAAATATATCTAATTACTTAAAAATATCATTACCACCCCTTATATTTAGAGACAAAATAAGTTTCTAGAAAACACCTTATATACAAGGATGAAAGGAGTATTGAGTAACTTTTATAATTGTTTTTCCAACTATAACCCTACATTATTTACTCTTTTTGAAAAAAAAATGATGCATTAAAATTTTAATTATCATTTTCAAGGCACTTATATAAGATATTAAATGAGGGTATAATTGAAAATATAATTTTTTGTTTTAACTAACATTTTTTAAAATTGTGAATTAGTGACTAATGCTTTATATTTTGGTACGAAGAGAATAATTAGCTCGCTCTGTGTTGAAACAACAAAAACTTTTGAAAGGGAATCCAATGGGAAAACATTTTACTACTTGCATTCCCGAAAATTAAAAAAGTTTTGTGAATCCAATATCGACCATCTTAATTAATGTAGCTTTCTAAAGCCAAGTAATAAGCAATTAATTATATCGATACTATAACATCATCTTAAATTAACTTCAGCCATAATAGTTGTATATACACTCCTATGATCATATTTATAAGTTATTTTCAACATGTTTAACTTAGATTAAAAAAGCTTTAAAACTTATTAATCCTATGTAAAAATTTAAGAAGTTTTTAATTTTACTCCTATTAAATATACATATTTTAATAATATATTTTCTTTCACCAACATTCAGTGAAAGAAAAAATGGATAATTTGTAAGGTAATTTATGAATAAGACCTAAAAAACTTTTCTTTTTGTCCTATAAATAGGACCAGAGAAGTGTCTTTTAACTATCTTTTGACAAAATCAATATCAATTCCCTTAAAATCAAAATATCAACCTATAGATTTATAATGAACTTAATTAGTGCATCTTGATCGACTATTTGTTAGCAATTGATTTAACTATATATTAATATCAAAGAATGGCACTTGGATTCATATGATTAAATAGATACAGTTATAACTCTAACTTTAAATTATAACCGTATTCTGATATCAATTAATCTTTACTGGAACACCTCTATGTCCAAGATCAAAATTCTTATTTTTAACTGGTTCTTCATGCACATCTCCATTTTTTGGATTTGATTCTAGTTTATTGCTCCAATATACAAATATAACTCTCCACAACAATTCTATAAGAACTTGTTTCCTGCAGTTTCTGGTTTACTTAATTAGCATCAAAACCATAGATTGTCTTCTTTCTATAGTTATTTTTCAATATTGAATAAAGATACCATCGATCAAAAATGAATGTTCTCATCTCCAAATATAGATTTGACCAAAATGAAGCACTATAGTACTCCCTCCATGTATTCTAGTTTATAAGATAATTTTGAAAATGATTCGGTATGTCAAAGTATAAGATAATTTTGACAAAAATAAGGTTTAATTAAATTTTCATTTGTGCCAAGATCAAGGAAAGTATATTTAATATTTAACTCTCAGCTCTATTCAGTACTGCATTAAATATTTAGAATTCAATTTATGAGAATTTATTTAAATATTAAATTCTCAGTCCTATTCACTCCTCATTCAGCTATGGATGATCATGACAATAGCTAGATAGACATATGAGATATATGTTTTGTCTGCAAAACATTCTCTCGCATATACATTATTAAAAGGAATACCAGACTAGTTAAGTCACATATACTTGGTTTGAATAGAGAGAAAAGTAGGAAGAAAATATAAAAGAGAAAATTAGGAGCAGAAATTTTTAAAAATAGTTATTTTGAACTATTTTTAAGATTTTTTTTTCTTCTCTCTATCTTTCTCCCCATCCAAATGAAAGGATAGAGTTAAATTTAAGCAGAAACACAAAAACATGTACGGACATATACTCGCAAGGTCTCACGCATAACACACACACACACACACACACACTAGGTTTTGTCTTCATTGCTTTCTCCCTTTCACATACTTGAGATCTTTAATTAGGGTTCGTTGTGAGAAGGAGGGTGTATATCTTGTGGTGGATAGTCACAGTACGACGTAAGCTTTGGATTTCGCTCCCTGAGTTTCTCGCGAGGCATACTTGAATTCCTGAAACAATAGGTTTCTCGTTTTTTTTCCCATATTTCTGCTTTTTCTTGGCTTCTTAATATGAGCAACAAACTCTGCCTTCGTTGGAGAGGAATCGTTCTGCAAAAAGAAACAGCAAGTTTGACGCTTTACACACACACACACACACGCACTAGCCTATCTAAAAATGAAAGCTTAAGTTAAAGTGATGATATAATATTTGAAATAAATCACAACTTGTCTTGTAATGTTCTTGTGGTCGAACAAAACCTTGAGAAAGAAGTGGATTTCCTTCTTCATCTTGTGATCAGGAGGAGTACTGCCTAAATGATGACGAGCTTTGCATGCATGCGAGGAAATGCACAGAAAGAGAAGAAGGAGGCATGTGACTGAAATATCTGAACCTTTTGAGGTAAACTATGTTATGGGTTAAGGATTTGAAGGTATGTGGCGGAATATTAAAGAAACGGAGAATTTAATGCGGCACTGAATGCTACAATCTTGGCACAAAATGCGGAATAGGCTGTGAAAGGTATAGCGGGTTCTTCATCAGTACTATCTTTTCTTATTTCCAAGAATATTTAATGGAAGGTTGGTTAATCATCAGTAACTAATAAAATATTTAATCATTATTAAACTTGATTATGAGTTTCTAGAAACAAAAATTATGTGCCTCTGCTTAAATCAATGGTTCTATCAACTGACGACGTACGTAATTTCCTTCGCTGATATATTTATTGAATAATTAAATGTAAGTGTCCCCTAAATTCCTAGCAGTGCCAGATTTTCTTTGCCTAGGGACTACAACTATAATTAGCCAAAACAAACAAGGGACTGCATGTGAACGAAGCACGCACATACATACTACATACGTTAATAAGCTTAAAAGATGAGTGGCACAAAAAGGCGTAAGTGATAGAGGGTTTTTTGGCCAAAAAAGAAGATTGTGCGTTTAGTTCTACTTAATAGTAATTTTTTTAAATTAAAAAAGAAGGATTTAAATCATGTGAAAGTGGAATTGGTGAATTTAGATAAAAAAATTTCTTTTAGGATTTTTTTTATTTTATTATTTTTATAAAATATAAAATCTTCTTTCTTTTTCTTAAAAAAAGTTATAAAAATTTACCATAACAATTTTAAAAGATTTAAATCCAATATATATATATATATATAAAAATCGTATTCGTGGGATGTCATGGGTTTGATTCCACTATTGCCAACTATTACATCATCTAACACCAATAGGTTTCATTCACCAATACCTCAATCATTACAAAGGCCATTCAGACTTGGATACTATTGAATCACTAAAGAAGAATTTCGCAACAATGCAACATAGACTACGCGCTTTGCTTAACAACCGCTAGCTATCTACATCTTCTATGGAGATTTCTTTCAACTAGATGAAACATAAAATAATTAATTAATTACAATTTTCAGGATTGTTTATTGTCTCAGCTTTTATTTTCATTATCTTTAATATTAAATATTATATCAAAGAAAATACCTAGACTAGCTAAATAATCTTATTATCTTCTTTTAATTTTAATGGATTAGGGGATTAGGTATTGTTTTAATGTTTTTAGGCTCTATAAATAACCTAGCATTTTCAATTCTATTCAACTTGATTGTTGGATAAGAATTTTTATTTCCCGGCCTTCTCTCTTTCTTTCTCCTTTTTCCATCCCTTGTCTATCTTCCCTATTTTCCTTCTTGTTTCACATTATTATATATCCCTTTTTATTTAGTAAAAGTAGAGAACAGAATATCATAGATTTAAACCTATCGATATTATTAAATAGCATGGAAAATTGTGTGCTTCAAGAGCCTAAAAACCCTTTCACACACACACACACACATTTCTTATACTTTCTATCCATAAGATTTCCAGCCTCAGGCTAGTTGGATTTTGCTTCCAGGTATCTAAATTCTGTTTTGTCATTGCTATAGAGTTGCGTACTCGTCAAATGTGCTAGCACGGACGCTTTGATTTGGTATTTGAAAATTGGAGTTATCGTATGTTAAGTTTGAAAACATAATATAAATTAATAATGTAACGACATATAACATGTGAATTTAATTAAGCCTATGGATGCAGAGAGTAACACTAAAGAAGTATAAAGTCCCAACACTGATTCCTTCTATATAAGAAACGACAAGGCTTTATTTGGCGTGGAAGGAAATTAAAAAAAAAAAACGCAGGCACATGAAATCGCATTGCTTAACAAAGCATCCATGCACGTAGTGCTTAATTTAACAGTGGCACGATTAATTGATTTCATACAATAGAGTCGAAAGGAAAAGGAAGTGGCATCAAAGGTCGATGGATCAACTTGATGGTCAAAGGGAGTGATCAGATGCGTGAGACTTTCACTTCTTACAATTGTTGTCGCAGAAGCAAGCGAATCCGAGACCATCAGCGTGGCAACTTCCCGAAACAGCACCGTGACTGCGGCACACACTATCACCATGACCACTGTCGGTGCAAATTCCGGAAAAGTCTCTGTTACGGCTTCGACAAAGCCTTGCTTCAACATTATCTACGCACGATAACACCAACAAATAATGAATGCATGTAAACATATGAACGTACGTGCTTCAATCGTAAAACTAACCGTTGGGAGAGGAAAGCAAGAGGGCGAGGCAGAGGAAGGCAATGAAGGAGGACAACTTGTGAAGGGAGGCAGCCATGTCTGGTAATTAATAAGATTAGTGTTTGGAGGTCTGAGTCGAAGGAGATGAAGAACCATACATGCTTATATACAGCGGTCTTCATGGGAACCTTCGCCTTCACAAAACGTACGTTGTAATGTCCTATGCGTCCGTTTTGTCCTCCCTCAACAACGGATCGGGTGGTGTCTATGACGCCTGATTACTTTGTATTGCCTTAATGGCTCCTTTGAAAGTGTCCCTCTGCGCATATTTTAATTGATGATTCAGTGGTGGTTTAGGATATCCGCTAGGTAATATTCAGATCTTAATATTTTAATAATGTTTCCCTGTTACATTGTCAATGTAGAATTCAAACTATGCCTCCTACCCTATATCTTCTTTCCTTGGTTGAAGACAAACCCCTCGAAAACGAATGGGAGGAACGAAATTATGTCACTTGACCACTAAAATGCGAGAGAACTTTCTTATCCCTAACTTAGGAATTGACAAAACAGCATTTATCTTAGGCATTAGTTTTTCCTACGGAACTAATCCAATCATAGGATGGAATTCCCACAAGAGCAACTCTGACGTTTAACTTAATAGTATCGTGTGAATGACATCTGGAACAAGTAGTGTTCTTATATTAAGTGTAATATACATCACAACCTGCACCAAGAAAATCAGGCTGCTGCTGTCCACACAGCATCTATCACAAAGAATGAAAGATTATTCTGCTCAGGCAAGACTGCAGAGAGCTACTATACTCGGCTTTCTTTCGGCAACACAAGGCGGTCTTGGCCTTCGATGAGCTTCACAGAACGAATAATATCACCAGTTTTTATCTGAGGAAGAATCTCTCTCCCAACAGTTGTGTATCTGCACCAAAAAATAATCAACAGGAAATTGTCATTTATGAAATTGATAATCTAGCAATGATATACTGATTGTAACTAAAAGCATACCCAAAAACTGAAAATTGCCCTTCATCGAAGGATATGCCTCCCAAGCCGGACTATAAAACAGAAAAAAAAAGGGGGGTTTGGAATAAGAGGATGCATAAAATGCAACTAAGAAATAAATCAATTCAATTTGGGAAAATGTAATTATAACCAAGCATGACTAGGTTCATAGAACTTTTCTAGGGTATATATAGCAGGTGTCCACTAAATCCTCGGCATGAATACTAGCAAAAATCTTAGATGAAGTTTTTAGCTGTTCATTATAAAATTATCACATGAGAAAGAATTCGCTTGAGAGTCGATTAATGGAATGTTGAGAAAGAAAATTAGTCCACATGTTCTGTTCATATTAACAAACACTTATGCTCTAGTTGAGGAGTGTGAATGTGATGAGAAACCAAAGTTCAATTTAGTCATTCATCGTGAAGTAAACCTACATGAAACTTTCAAACATTTTCTTTCATTTCCTTCTCCATTCTCCATTCATTGTTCAGATTAGTTTTAGTGGAAAGTGGAAGGGATGATGGATTGAACTTACATTTCGTTTGTCATAAAGATAAAAGAAAAACTGATTTGGTGATGAGTACTCCTCAGAGTCTTCACTATGCGCCATGGCGATTGACCCATAAACAGATAGAGGAAGAACCGGCAGTTCTCCATCCTTCCATGAAAGGAAAACAGAAATAAGAAACAACTTAGAAAAGAGAACTGAGCTAAGCCCCAGCCAATTTGGTCACAAGTTTTATGATAAAAGAATACAAACTTGCACACTTAATGTCGTCTTGTAGAGAGGCTCAAATTGTCCAGAGGGCATTAGTTCAAGGGGAACACTATAACCAGTGTTCTTATCAAGTCCTTTATCTGAGAGAATAGCTTGGTTGGCACAGCTGAGCTTTGCACCATCATATGCTCCATCTATTACCTGGTGACAAATATAACAGTCAGGGCAGCTCCAGATGTTTAAAATGTCATGAGAAAAACTCGGGTGAGGAAGAATTATACAATTTCAAATGAGTGATTAAAATAATACAATTCCGAGGAAAAAATAGATCAGAAATATGCTAATAAAAAAGAGGTTTAGTAAATGAGAATTGCGCTGACATTTGTTATCCTCATCCATATAATGATGAAAGACATCTGTTCTCTTATAGATCTGAGGCTATTGGGTGGGTTTCTCATTGTTCATTGCTAAAGTCCCCCCACATTCTTGCTCTATTATGATATTCAACTTTCCATCTTCAAACCTAAGTATTCCTATGACCCATATATTCTCCATTAATGGTATTGCTGATCAGTCACTGCCTGTATTTACAGAGGGAACTATTTTGCTGCATGCATGTCTGAAAACACTTTATCTCCAATCTGTTAACTTAAAATTGAGCATCAGATAATCTCTGCTGTCAGTAGAACTTTCTCTTTGTACTAATTAAAAAAAAAATTTGAACATAAGATTCGAGATCTTGACAATCTCTCACAAAGTTGTTTCTCCAGCCAAAAACTATCCGACTAAATTATTTACCGTACAAGTACAAGAAGTTACAGAGAGAGAGAGAGAGATCAAGAAGGAAATGATGATTGAGACTTCCATAGAGCATTGTCCAAGTAATTGAATATTACTGATTTAGGTTATCCATCATATTTTAGAGATCCAACTAAGAGGATGAGAAAGTAGAAGGGGGGAATAGCAAAAAATATCATAACACAGATGCTAACAGAACCCAAGAGGCACGTGCAGAATTTATGCAGCATTTTCATCAAGACAAAGTGATGTTCAACTACCTTACCAGTTTTGCAAAATTCCCTGCAGTCAGTGGTGCTGAATATCCATCAATTACAACCTGAAAATGCATATTCATATCCATTGGTAAAACATGGTAAAACAAAGTAATTTATTATTTACTTCAAGCTCAAACGCACCCTGTGGCATGTAATATTCTTCTAAATAGACCTTTCTTATTGCTAAATGTATTCATTTTGGAGGACGCTTGGCAAGTCAACAATCCAAGGATGCTTGCAAGGGTCAAAAGTGGGAAGTAAAATATACCTGGATAGTAGCAGTTTTTCTCTCTTCACCAGCAAGGGAGAAAAAACTGAATCATCTCCTTTCTCAATTGTAAACTCAACAGTTCCTCTCCCAGTAAGCCTGCAAGAGATTAGGGAGATATTAATTTGTTTTCTTTAATCCTAACCCACGATGAGTAAACTACAACGCATTGCTGTCCAAAATCACATTTGTAGCTTTTCTTCAGTCTTACTTCTTTCACAGTTGCAATTAAAAGGGCCACAATGATCATTGAAAATAAATAATAAAAAAATGTCCAAAGTATTCATTCCTGAAATCTGTATGACATTCTAACTGAGATAACAATTAGATAGAAGTCAGTTACCGTGGATATTGCAAGTATTGCTCAGGCAAAAGAAATGACAATCCTGGAGCCTGTTAAGATTTCACAGACAGAAATAGTGTTTCTTTTTAATTCAGTGTCAGTTTCATAATTTATATAACATAAAAAAGTAAAGACAGTTGCATTAAAAAATTAAAGACAGTTGTGTTTATACCAGGAGACTGTCATATTAATTATGGCTTGCAGTTACCTGTAATAATTCTAGCTCTGCTACAGTATCCAGTGCTGATGCAAGGCCTACAGATACTTTATCAGCATCCTGTGCCTTTATAGATTGAAGGAGAGCTTGCAACCCACCCTACACAGCATAATAAACTTTGAACTCACTGTGAAAGCGTATACACTCTATAGTGAATCATGTAAACCAATTTTTAGATGATGTTACTCATATAACATTATAGAAGCTTTCATCGTATTAATTAGGGAGTGTAATAATAAGAGAATGAGAAAAGATAGTCAAATCCTGCATTAATAAAAGAACATGATGTTCCTTCTTGATTGCTTTTCCTTGGATTATGATATTTAAATACTGCCTCATTTAGTAACAAACAAAGAAACAATAGAAAAAAGTCTTGCTCTCCAATTCTAGGATTCTCATCTCATGTAAGCTTATAGTAAGTTCAACTCAAATCACGATAAATATACCTGATTCTAATGAAGTTGTATTTGAGATATGCAGGCAAATACTTTTTTTTTTTCTTCTAAAGAATGAGAATGATGGTATTTAAAATATCTATAAATTTATCAGCATATAGAAGACATCATGATTGAGAAATTATGAAGGTGTCACTTTGTAGAGCACCTTTCCATCAATCAGAGAGGCATGTACCAAAGAACCCTTTTCCCTCAGCTCAGCTGGTATACTTGCTAATATAGAGTCCTTTTCATCTACTGCCATCTGAAGTAAGGAAGAACAGAATCAAAATTAAGTGTCCTCATTCATCACACACAAAAGGACAGTATCATAGCATAGACATTAAATTATGAAAATCATCGCTGATCAGAGATATATAACATGTGAAAGATATTGGGATTGAGATGAAGTTAAGAGAAGCAAGTTATATTATAGTATCACTGGTTGTAAATTGTTAAAGGACTTAGGTTATACACCCATATGAACTGAGGTTTCTCAAACACCAGAGATGGCTAATATGAAGCAGAAATCACAAGAGAAGAATAGGGTCCGGAAATACCAGGGAGGGGGTTTATCATGTCTTCAATTTTAGCCATGAAATAGGAGCCATATTAACAAAACCCTAAAAACAAGCCAAGGGCCTCTACATGAAGGCTTAAACTTTTGAGTATCTAATCATTCATTCAAGCCCTTACATCTATAAGATGTAGCTGTAAATTTTTCAAAAGGCATCGACACCCAAAGATTTGGTTTTCTTTAAGTTATTTTTTTTCATAATAATAGCAACAAATGACTAGCGGCTTGAGTAATTTTGCTTTTCATAAGGACTTTTAGAGAACTACATAAAAAAAAAAAAAGCACATAACAAGAAAGCAACAAATACCTTCAAAGCTTTCTTCACATTCCCCTCCATTGTCCCATAAGGTTTTCTCTGTGGAATCCTTAACAAATATGATATATCTTCAAGAGAGTCCTAAAGGAAGAGGCAAGACAGTCTGCACATTTATCACTTAAACGTTAAGAGAGCTGTAAAACACATTTAATCAGTGACAGCAACCTGGATTGCCTTCATGTTTGTGTTTGCAGGGATAGCCCGTCTAAGAGCAAGTTCTCCTGTTCTGGGGATCTTAGTGTCTGGTGAATATAGAATTGCATTTGCGGGAGATATAGACCAAGAATCTTGGCCAACCATAGGAAGTGAAAATGTAATATGAACAGATACAATGATAGCAATGAGATTTTTGAACTGGCTCATTCTCTGACTAATATTTGACATGTGCAGCAGGAATGGAAAGCCATGCTGATCTGCAAACTCCTGCACAATCAAAACTCTACTTCAAAATGTAGAGAAACTCACGACAAATCATATAGAATGAGTTGTTCTTCTGAGTTTACTACATAAAGTAGGGAAGCTGTAAT